GGAGCTCCTGCCCGGGTCCCCAGCCGCCTAGTCGAGGACTGCCGCCGCGAGCCGGCCCCTCTGGGTGTCACCCGTAACCCGGGGCTCGCTCTCGCGCGCGCGCATCTATCTCTCATCTACCTACCTCCCCTACCTACCTACCATATACGGTATCTATCATCACCTATCATTACTGGCTTTATCTCCGCTGGCTTTTCTGTTTATTCCAACGCTCGAGGGGGCTTTAAACAATTAAAGAAAAAAAAAAAAGCAAGGCATGCAATATAAGGCAAACTGAGGCAAGGAGCCCCCCCCAAAGTGTGAGCTGTTCCTTCTGGAAGGTGCTGCCCCCTCCTCTTCTCAGCCCCCAAGTCAGCTGCCTCCTTGCGGAGGGACGGCGTTTCGGTCTCCTCTGGACATCACTCCAGCTGCCCTCCTGCCCTTCACAGAGGGTAGGCAATGGCCAAGGGTCCTGCTAGTTGCTCACTGATGGGAGGGAGCGGTAGAGCTCTTGGCATCAGCAGACCGGTGGCACCCACTCGAGAGCCCCGAAAGAAGTCCCCCCCTGGTCTCTCACTGAGGTCACAGAGCAGAGGGCCAAGGCAGGGCCCCGAGGCCACCACCTGGCCGATGAAGGGAACCCCACCACTTTCCTGGCCCAGGAGGAACCAGAGCCTGCTCTCACGCCCAGCAATGGCCCTGAATGGTGCATGTGATGCAAACCCAGCCAGGGATCAGTCAGTCAGCCAATGGGGGCTGAGCCTGAGGTGTGAACCTAGTAGCTCTGCTTGCCCCTTCCCCAGCGGCCAAGTAGGCGGCAACCTCTGACTCCGACTCCAAAGCTGTGCTTGCTTGCCCAGAGGTCTGGGGACATGTTGACAGCCACTGGCAGCCACATCTGCCCATCCCTTCCAAGTCAGTGGTCTGGAACGAAGGGAGGTGAAGGAAAAGCTGTTTCCCCCTTTTCAAAAGCAATTTAGGGAGTCTTAAGCTTGTTTTCTCAGGAATACATCTGATTAAAGCATGGCAAGGATTCGTTCATTCATTTTAACAAAGATGTCAGACAGGTCCTTATCAGGTGGGTCAAGGTCAAAGAGGAAACATACCTGGAGATGTCTTCTTTGGAGTGCCCTGAAGGGACTTTCAGAGCACGTCCTTGGTTTCCAGTCAAAATTCTTGTCCTTGATGTTGGTTCATCTGTCTCTCTGAGAACACATTGGCAGTGGCAAGAGCGGGCATTGCAAATGCCAAGAAACAAAGGCCTGCAGCAGAAACCCGTCTATCATGCGTGATACGGCCCTTCCATGACATAAAGGTTTCAGTTCAAAAGGTGATTTGACTCATCCCAGGGAGGGGGGAGGTGTAGTAGTCCTGTCACTATTATTTAATGGCTTTAGCAAGGAGTTCCTGTTATTGCTAAATTATTTTTCCTTTGGTTTTATTCAAGCAAGAGTGTGAATCGTGTGTTACTGGTGGAGATATGCATTCAGTAAATAAATCTGATCTTGCCTCTCACCCTTCCTCCCTCCCCTACTTGTCTGTTCCAGGCAGAGATGTTTGCGGGGAGTAGGGGTCAAAAAAGTCAAGACGGTAGTTGTGACCACACCATTTAAGCCCCACCCCTTTTTTACATGTGTGCATCCCTTGCAAGTGCCATCTTGACTTTTTTGACCCCATTCCAGGGAAACATCCCAGCGCTACAGCCACGGTCCGTCCCTCCTTGGGCCAAACCACGAGGAAGACAGTTGGATGCGGCTATCGGGAAGGGATGGGATGTAAGCCCCACCTGGCCAGAGGGAGGCAGGAGTCTGCTGGGCACTTTGTGCTGGGGCGCTCGCTTGCCCCCACCCTGCTTTCCTAAATAAAGGGCATGGCAGGAAGAAAGACTTGTAACCAGAAGATCATTGATGTTTTCCTGAAACAGACTCGCATAGGCTAAGCTGGAATATGGTTGGCTCCCCTGGGCCTCAGTGTTTTGTTTAAGCACACCCAGATGCGGAAGTGGCAAGGATAGCGATCCTTTTGCCCTACAAGCAGATCACACTCTTTCCATCCAGCAGTGACCACCTGATCCCTTTGGCTTGTCTCCAGAATCAGTCAGGCCGCCCTTCTAGCAAATCTATGCAAGCAGAGGCCACTTTCTTAGCAAGAGCCAGTGATGGGCCTGCAGGGAATGGCCTCAAACAGCTCAGCATCTTCCTGCTGGTGACCCACAACAGGTAAAGAGATTCCCGCTGTCACATTGTGACTGTCTAGATGGCCCCGACCAGCCATTCCTGGGTGTTTCCTCTCAGGAGACAATGCTGGGTTCCTGGAAGCATTCAAGGCATATCTCTAGGAGTCGTATCTTGCCTCCTTAGAGAGACAGATGAGCTCACCCAAATGGGGACCAAAGGAACGGACACCTCATACTTCCATATTTGCTGACCCAGCCACCCAACCCTCTGAATGATAGAAAGCAGACAACCCACAAGCTGGACGGCAATAATTTATTAAGTATTCCAAAACATAAAAATAGACACAGACCAGTAAAGAACAGGGTCCTTGAAATTATCAAAGTGACGAACAGAGGGATTTCCACTAACTCATAAAACTGGAGACTGAGGAGCAGGGAGAAAAGATGGTCAAATACTGAATTTTTAAGTTTTGGAACTCTTGAATCAGAAGCAACTAGAAGCCGGTTGCCTAAAACTCAGCAAATGGGGAACAAAGTTGGCAGATGAAGATGAGCCACAGGATCATGTCAATGCTGGGTTCTTCCCAGGGAGGGCTGAGTGTTGCTCCATCCAGGCCCCTCACTTAGCACCCTGGGCTTCCGACTCTTCCTCATCGTCTTCATACATCTCCCCTTCCTCTTCAGCAGTGGCATCTTGGTACTGCTGGTACTCAGAGACCAGGTCGTTCATGTTGCTCTCGGCCTCTGTGAACTCCATCTCATCCATGCCCTCACCAGTGTACCAGTGAAGGAAGGCCTTGCGCCGGAACATGGCAGTGAACTGCTCTGAGATGCGTTTGAAGAGCTCCTGGATGGCTGTGCTGTTGCCAATGAAGGTAGAGGACATCTTCAGGCCGCGGGGTGGGATGTCACATACTGCCACCTTGACATTGTTGGGAATCCATTCTACAAAGTAGCTACTGTTCTTGCTCTGGATCGCTAGCATCTGCTCATCTACCTCCTTCATGGACATGCGTCCTCTGAAGACTGTGGCCACAGTGAGGTAGCGACCATGGCGGGGATCGCAGGCTGCCATCATGTTCTTGGCATCAAACATCTGTTGTGTGAGCTCAGGCACGGTTAGGGCTCGGTACTGTTGGCTCCCACGGGCCGTGAGGGGAGCAAAGCCAGGCATGAAGAAGTGGAGGCGAGGGAAGGGAACCATGTTGACAGCCAACTTGCGCAGGTCTGCATTGAGCTGTCCCGGGAATCTCAGAGAGGTGGTCACTCCACTCATGGTGGCAGAAACCAGGTGGTTGAGGTCTCCATAGGTTGGAGTGGCCAGCTTGAGGGTCCGGAAGCAGATGTCATAGAGGGCTTCGTTGTCAATACAGTAGGTCTCATCTGTGTTTTCCACCAACTGGTGGATAGACAGGGTGGCATTGTAAGGCTCTACCACGGTGTCAGATACTTTGGGGGAAGGCACCACACTGAAAGTGTTCATGATCCGGTCTGGGTATTCTTCACGGACCTTGCTAATAAGGAGGGTCCCCATGCCCGATCCTGTGCCCCCACCGAGGGAGTGAGTGAGCTGGAAGCCTTGCAGGCAGTCGCAGTTTTCACATTCCTTTCTCACCACATCCAGGACAGAATCCACCAACTCGGCGCCTTCTGTGTAATGCCCCTTAGCCCAGTTGTTCCCAGCACCACTTTGACCTGTGAAGGAAGAGACTTAAATACCCGTTTGCTTGGTAACCAGCCTGCATTATTCCTTGTGTAAAAATATCTGATTCTGCCTCAGAAACCAAGAAGGCACTGAAGAGAACCTAGTCTAAGTGGGAGTTTCTGTGCCTCTCACAGCCTTTGGCCTAGCTGGTTCCCCTTCGGAATCACCAACCCCACCATGGCCTCTCCATTCTTCCTGACCGACAAGTGCAATTCCATCAACCTCCCAGGAACCCGAATGAAACACATCTAAAGAGAAGCTGTGCCATTTCCAGGGGGTAGAACTGGATGCTACATTAGGGAGGGAGATCTGGGCGAGAGGAGCAGAAAGAGGGACAATACCGAAGATGAAGTTGTCTGGTCTGAAGAGGTGTCCAAAAGCGCCTGAGCGAACACTGTCCATGGTGCCAGGTTCCAGGTCCACCAGGATGGCTCTGGGGACATATTTGTGAGCTGGAAGGACAAAGAACATTTTCCTTTGAGTGGACTAACCTAGGAGGCTTATCAACCAAACAGGCACTTGTATTAATTCAACCTGGTTCCTCCCTCCCGTCTTCTTACACCCTCCTGGACTGAGCCTATGAAAGTACAGAGCTTGGTCCCTCAACAACTGCTTTGTGCTACGGGGCAATCCAAGAGTTCCTTTGCCAAGAGTTGCACCAAAAAACCTACACATGAGGGCTCCAAGCCTCTCACGATCCTTACCACTCCTTCATGCTTCCTTCTGGTAGCAGTGCTATGTTGAAAAGATACATGGCCAAATGACCTTCCCTCTTGAGTATGGGGACCCTTGTTCCACATCCTGGCTCTCAGCACCAGCACCTGGAGGATCCCCAAGTGTGGACTAGACAAAAGCTATTGTGAGACCATCTGCGTGTAGGCTTCATTTTCTCCCTGCTAGCATTGAAAGTGCCTATGGCAAGGACCTATATGCCAAATGGGATGATAGCAACAGTCGTCCTGTATAATTTTTCCAAGAAGGGCCCAGGAGGAAGTTCTTGATATCAGAAAACATCGATTAGGCTGGGAGCAGAGCTTACAGGAGGCTTCATTGTAGTACACACTGATCCTTTCCAGCTGCAGATCAGAGTCCCCGACATAGTTCCCACTGGGGTCTATCCCATGCTCATCGCTGATCACCTCCCAGAACTGAGGAAAGAACAAGAGGAAGTTAGAAAAATTTGAGATATGTGATTTTGATGTTTTAAACGGTTGAAAACTGGGATCAGAGCGCAACTAGGACACTTATTCTGCTCAGTTATACTTTGAAAAAACATTCCAAGTTGCTCCTGTTATGTCCTCCTTTTGCCAAGCAACCCAATTTGCAACCTTTCCCCCACAAACCTCCAAAAACTCAAAAGGTTTTGTGCGATCTGCCATTCCTGCTACAGGAGCGATGTGTGCCAGCCCAGGGATCTGACCGTGGTGCTGAAACCCCTCCCACTTACTTGAAGACATTTCTGGCTTCTCTCATACAAGGCGAGGGGCGGGGGGGTGTCACATCACAGCCAACCAGGGAGGGAGCCTTAATTTCTGTGTGGCCTCTGCTAGCCCTCAGCATGCCCTGCAGCCTTCTGCGCTGCTTGGCTGTAAAAAGCACATGACTTCTGGGTATTGGTGCAAATGCACTGGGATCAACAGTCTGAGGTGGACTGCAGCAAGAGCGTCACATATTCCCCAGAGAGCCCTGAAGGGCAACAGCTCATCAGGATCCAGTTTCTAGCACTTGGAACAAAGGCTTGATCGTGTAAACAAGGGCTAGGCAGCATTCCCCCGGTGACAGTCACAGCTTCTCTGGGTGGCATGTCCTGTTAATTTAGGAATCCAGCTCTCTCTCACCGTGGAATTAGGAGGAAGTGGAACTGGAGGAGGCTGCACCACCCTTAAACGGCTTGCGGATCAGGGAAGGCAAAGGCAGGAGGCTGGTCCTCAGCGCCGCCCATCCCCTGCAGATGGAGCTGCGATTCCTAGACAGCCGCTCCTCATTGGCAAGGTCAGGAGTGGAGTGAGCGTCCACACATGACAGGACTGATTCCCTGAACAGATCTGCACTCGAAGGACCATTGCCGGCCATTTGTTTCTAGAAGTGATGAAGAATAATGGGAAATGGAAGATACAGGAAGGGTCTTCCGGGGTTGGTCAAGTGACAGAAACCCTCCCAACTTTCTTTTGTCTTTAATGAGAGACCCCAGAACTTCAGACAGGTTTGGGGACAGGCCTTTTTGTGAGCTGGCCTGCTTGCAGAGAAAAAGCTTATGATCTGGGATGTGGAACCTCCAGCGGCTCACAGGTTGACATATTCCGATGGGATCCCATTCCTCAGCTGGGGCACAAGCAAAGGAGACAGGCGGAGATGATGAGCCAATGGCAGCTTCGTATGCAGCTTCAACCCAGCCCAGTTGGGTGGCCTTCACAGAGTTGTAAGATGTGTTAAAATACAGAGCCAGTCACAGGATAGGAATAAGCAGAAGTAGTTGCCCTTGGGGAAATGGTGGTTCACTTGTCATATTCCACACCAAAACTCCTTTCCTGTGACTGCACTGAGGTGGGAGTCCAGCCATATTAGTTGAAGGTGACCCTCAAAAGTGCCTCTTAAACCTCCTTCCTATGGACTGGGGATGTAGAAAGGCCAGTCTCAGTCCCGCATCGATCTAGTTCTAGTTCTCAGTGAGATTGTTCATCATAATTAGCATATGCATGAGGATGCTCGCCCAGATAGCCCTTGGAAAAAAGACCTGCTCTCCCCCCCTCCCCCAGTGTCACAGGTCATGACAGGCTACCAGCCACCCTGGTGCATCTCATGGGGGAAGGGGGTACTAAGCCATTTAAACAGCGTTGTTCAACATTTCCATGTATTTTGTTTGCAGTGAAGCTTAATTCAGAATTAGGTAAGATCTCAGACTGAAGATTCTGGTATTTCATGAGATGCTTCTCTTTCACTGAAGTTGGTGAATAATAATAATAATAATAATAATAATAATAATAATAATAATAATA